CTCTCGCTCGCTCGCTCTCTCACTCGCTTATTCACACACACACACACACACACCTATTTCTCTCTCTCTCTCTCTCTCTCTCTCTTTCGGTTTTTTATTTTTCGCCGGTAGGAAATGAAAAGTATTAAGGGGACCGGTGTTGTTGTTTCTCGTAAGTAGGATTCGCGTGCCGGCGAAAATTTCTTGGCCGTATCGTAGCTACGTACCGTGGGATGGAGTGTGGGGGCGTCGTTTAAAAGGATAAAGCGAGAACCCGGCGTGAACCGGAATCGTGAAACATGTTTCTAAAGGGAGCTGCACGCAATTTTCCAAGAGTAGACGTTCTTATGTTAATGAGTTGAAAGAAAAGACGCGAGAGAACCGAGCGGAGCATCTCTCGTATAAACGTGCGTCGCTTAGAAGGAGAAGAAGGAGAGAGAGAGAGAGAGAAAGAAAGAGAGGAGAAAGAAAAGAAAATAGAAAAAGAGAGAGAGAGAGAGAGAGAGAGAGAGGTGGATAGTCGAGTTGAAGCGATTATACACGCGCGCACGGTGTAACGACTTAAACGAACTCCAAGCAGACCGTTTAATTCATCAAATTAATCCCCCAATTACACGAGAAATTGCGTTAGCTTAAAAAGTTTCCGAGGAGAGTGGCGAGACCCCTCCCCCTTGCTTAAAAGAATTTCATTTAAAAACCGATAACTCGATTGTACCCCGAACTTTGATCGCGTATTAAAAAAAAAAAAAAAAAAGGGGAGGGGAGAATAACGAAAAATGGATTTCGCTTATTACGGATATCGTTTACTCTTCGAGTTTCTCGGACAGCGTCCTTAAAAAATTACCCGCGTCGCAACGGGCTCTTTTAGAGGACGTGCCTGCTGCCGTCCCGTTCACCAACTACAAGTCCGGAATGTAAATTTTAATTAAACACGTCTTTTAATATAGAGAAGCGTCAGAGATATTTCAGTAAAAGTAATTTAATTAATGGGGGGGAGGGGGGAGGCGGTAAAACGTCTGAGCACAAGAAAATTATACAGCGTGGAAAAGAATGAAACCATTTTTAAAAGTTGAAGTAATGTTTCTCCGGATTATGCGAATGAAAAACTTATCATCCGTGATTATCCGCGATATCTCGATTAGAATCGAGATAAGTTTTTGACGAGAAGCGAGGAGAGATTTTTCGGTTATTGCGTTACGATTCATATCGACGAAATATGAGAGTTCAAAATTTAATTTCCAATGAAAATTTTAAATCGAAAATAAAAATTATTATTCGTTACCTTTTCTCTTACTTCGAGATTAGATTATATAAAAATTTTCAATCTCGATTTTCAATCCCGTTCATTCGGGCGAAATGTTCAGTACGATCGATTCCATTCGATTCGATTCGATAAAAGATTTTTCTTCCGTTGTTTTCTCCAAGATGGCAACCGACCGACAAACCTGGAAATTATAAAAAAAAAATTTGGAAACCGGACGCGGATTTCAGAATTATCGATAAATTGGGAATATAATGTTAACTGATAAAGCGATAAATGAATGCGTTTGTCCGCGATGCCTTCATTCGTCGTGTCCCCTTCCCAATGCGGAGCCACCGTACGATGAAATCACGCAAGAAATAAATAATAATTTCATATCCGTCAAGGTGCCGAAATGCAAAAGAAAATTCGAGAAGGAAGACGAGGATGAGGAAGAAAAATTGAGTTTTGACTTTAATTGCGCCGATGCCGAAGGTAAAATGCGTAATATCCCTTTTCCCCTCTTTTTAAATAAAGAAAAATAAATTGCGTACATACCTACGCACAGGTGAAAAATGCAAAACTGGTTGCACCAAAGTTCACGTGATACCGAACGAGTATGCCCCACCGAAAAAGCCCGAGGAAGAGATGCTCTCGTTGAAGTCTATAAGTCACATTATGCCCAACGACAGATTAGACAACACTATCGAAATTGAATTCAAGGCAGCGCGAAATTACAATCCGTTGCCTGAACCCGGACCACCGCCGCCCATAATTGTACCAAGGCAGCGTATTAAGAAGAAGAAAGGCAAGGGTAAAAACAAATAAGATTCGAGAGAAATTAGCAATTATGGCCAATGCGCAGACGTTTCCACGTTTCAACGATATTTGTGACTCAACGGAGAAAGAAAGAAAGAGAAGAAAGATAGGTAAGGAAGAGTTCTGTTTGATCAATTAAGTTGGATCGTTCCGCGACGCGTCGCTAGGCGAAACAAAATATTTGACGATTATTCGCGGTCTGGTTTTCAGTGAGCGAAATAGCGAAGAGATACGTTGGGCAGAAAATCGGGCCCTCTTTAGGGATTTACGAGTGACACGGAACTAAAACGTTCGCCACTTTGTCGTAAAGCCGAGAGAGAGAGAGAGAGAGAACGAATAATGGAACGATAAATCACCGGCATTATATTCTTGCGCATCTTGGGGAGTGGGGAGAGGGACGATAAATCATATCGCGCACCGAAGGCATACGGACGCGTCGGTATTAAACGTTTTCGTTTCGCCATTGTCTTCCCACCCGGTAACAGGCGTCTTTTTAAATCCTGCCTTACTTACTCCTCCGATTCCATTTCGACGAATCGCAAGCGTTACGTTCTCTAAGCTCTGAACGACATTCGCAGTTATAAGTTGAGAGCGAACGATGGAAAAAACGAAAAGAGGGGGAAAAGCTTGTAAATCTCGCGCTCCCGTTCAATTTCTTTCGCCGACAACCGATTAATAACTAAGGATAAATTTCACGATGCCGAACTCGTGATGCTCTCTCGAGTTCATTTACGATCCAGTAAGTGTTCTTACGGGTGGAGGATATGTATATATATATATCGTTTCCATGGAAACGAATATTTCCGTGGAACAACAACGAGGGATAAAAAGGGATGGAAATTTATCGATCATAGAAGTAGATCGAAAGATCGCGTAAATTTTCTTTTTCGCCGGTTTCGAAATATTTCGAATAGCGCGAGAAGTGCGGAACGTTGCTGTGACGCGTTCGCGTGAGAGCTCGGGGAACGGGGGGAGGGGGAGGGAATACAATGGCGCGTTTGCGTGTGTTTGCGTGTTGTTGCACGAATTTCCAGCGTATTTCCAAAGAGATCCGTGGAACGCGTATACGCACAATTGACGGAAGTAAAATTTTATCACGGCACGTATCGAATGTACAGTGTGCGCCGCCTGAATAAAATACACTCTTTCCAAAACCCGCACCCGGGGTTGCATCAACGAGGATCGGAATAAAAATATTTGCATGCTCCTCGACGAGTTCCCCGTTTCGTTTAATGAAAATGTTCCAAAACCCATAATTTATTCTCTATCGAGAGAGAGAGAGAGAGAGAGAGAGAGAGAGAGAGAGAGAGAGAGAGAGAGAGAGANAAAAAAACACGTCAATTCGAGATCGCGACGATTAGATTTCGTTCCTCTTCTGTCTTTCCGCCTCTATCGATCCACGCGATAACTAATTACGATCCCGTCTAACGAGACCTCTACTCAACCTTCGCGTCAACCGGGAAGCTCATCATTAAAGGGAGGGGGGAGGGAGGTTACGCTTCGCTCAAGAATCCTTAATTTGTATCAGCAATACCTTCCACCATGTTGAGATATTTCCATTTCGCTATCGGAACTCAGATTTTAGAAAATTTAATTTTTCCATCACGGATTTTTACTTGCTTGCTCGTCGAAAAAAATGAAATAAAATTTTAAAAAACTCGACTAATCCGGGATGAAGAAGAAAAAAAAAAACGTTTCGAGGAAAGATCGAAAATGAAGCACACACGATCAACCTTGAAAGGCAAAATTAGCACCATTCATCGAGAAAGGAAGAGAGGGAAAAAAAAAAAGAAAGAAAACCACGATCCTCCTTCTCCTTAAGATCTGTTCCCCTTTATAAATATTTATTACGCGGAACGAGAAGCCCCGGCAGAAACCACGCAACGAATTCGATCGTGAAAGCATTTGCTTGTACTTTAAACGATTTTCTCCGGTACACTGTATAATTCAATAAAATTTGAATCTATCGCCGGCAAAGCTAAACGTTGCTCTCGTTGGTATTCCGTTCGATTCGATCTCCTCGCGTAATCGCGCGAGAGATTCGAATCTATTTTCTTCAAAGCAAACGTTCTACACGCGCCGTTCCTTCAAATTTAATCGATACAATGGAAAAATTTCGAAAAACTTGGTATAGAAAGAGAGAGAGAGAGAGAGAGAGAGAGAGAGAGAGAGAGAGAGAGAGAGAGAGAGAGTAGCGGAGAATAGCGAGAAACGAAAGGAAAGCCACGATCCATTGTATTCGTGGGTTCACGCTATAACCAACTTTATCCGGACACGAGATTTCTCGCGGAAAATACACCTCCCACTGATTCTGCAGCGTGCCGGGAATACATTGAACCAGAGTTCAATTGACGTTTGACCAACCCGTAGGCGATGCGAAAATATACCGTAAATACGGCTCGACCCTTACCCTCTCGATTCCAGCCCTCTGCTTCCGCTATTTTATTTCTTTCGCTTTTTTTTTCCCTCCCGTGGACATCGAGTTTCCTACGTGCTTGCTTCGAAAGAACGTTACCGCATTGCGTGATCCGATCGCCCGTGATCCCCGTTAAGGGAAACGCCGGCTAAGCTCTTGATAATTATCGACCATGTTCAACACGCTTATTTATTTTTCGTTCTAGAAAAATTCTTCATATATTACCACAAGAAAATTTCTATTTTACTCACAATAATTTCATTCGTGGTATAATATTATCGCATTTACTTGGTGGAATCGGCATCGATAATTTTTAAAACTATATACACAACGAGGTTTGCGCATTTAAACGGATTAAACGCACGTTCGACGAGTCACGCAGGTGAGCACCAATTGCGTTCATTATTAACGTAATCAGGTGCACCTGAGGCGCGCATGAACACGTTGTAATGCGACCAGTTTACACTACATTGGCGAAAGATATCGATATCGTTGGCAACGCGAGCGCCAACACAACGATTCTCTCCATTCCCGGATTACTCTCCGTTTCGAATGAAATGGTGAATGAATCCGCAAACTGGTCTGCAAACTATAAAGCCACGATCGTATCGAGTCGAGGAAAAGATCGAATTTCATGAAACGACGAATAATTTTCTGAACAACTTTTAAAAAATAATGGGATCGAGTGAAAAGATTTCTTGTTTCACCGGGACAAAGAATCATGCTTAACTTTGGCTCGAAAATTTAGAGATTCGATACTTCCTACTTTCGCCTCTTATTTCTTCGTCTTTTTGACAGAGAGGAAAAGAGATGGAACGAGATAGAAAGAGAGGAAGCAAAAGTTCTAAGCTACGAGGCTACATTTACATTTGCCGACACTTAAGTCCGAGCCGTGCACCGATGTTATGCAAATCTTAATTCGCTTCACTGGAAAACTCGTAAAATTACCGAGTTTCTTCGCACTACTCGAATAACTTGCACGCCTTTGATCCTACGTGTACTCAGTGTACGTATACTATTTCGCCGAAAAATAATTCGATATCAAATTATTAGGAGATCAAATTTTCAAAACGATATTGCATTAATAAAAAAAATTAGGGGACGAAAAAGACAAAACGAAATAATAAATATGAGTAAAACTGACAGAATGAAAGTGACATCTTGTAGATTTTTTATCACGTTTATTCTGAAATATCAACCTCGAATAAATCAGACTTGTATAACAGAGAAATAGAAGCGACATCTCATGGGATTTGTCACATGTTCTGAAATACCGACTTCAAGATTAGAATGCTTTTTACGCCATCTACCATGTTATAATCTAAGTAATACAAGTACACAAAATTAAATCATTCAAAAGAAAAAATAAAAATCTATACTTTTAGTTTGTAATTTTAAAAATTGAAACGAGATCATCTTTTACTCATCATCTTTTAATAAATTTTCTAGTTAAGGAAAAATAATCGCGCTTCAATTATCTCATTATTTCTCTATTATTTCTTATATTATATTAAATATATAATTATATCACTGATATTATACAATGATATAATTATATATTGTATATTAAATAATAATTTCTCAAAATTCGAAAAATCGATAGGTAATATCAGAGCATTTTCTATTCGTCTCAAATTTCTCTTCCATTTTTCAAATTTTATCTCCTGAAATAGCCGAAGGTTGTCACGCAAAAACATGCCTACTGAATCAGAGATTGTAACAAAGTGATCTGACTAGTTTTACCTATTTATAATTGACATACTTATATAGAAGTATTATCTATTCTTTAGCCCTATATTTAAAAAATAATGAAATAAACACACTACATAATTATTTTGTGATTCTCACACAATACACAAGTCAAAAAAAGTCTATATTAGAAAAAGTGTTCTTTGACGCTCGAGCTTTACACACTAGCCGCACATTCTAACCTTACATTTTCCTGATTTCGACTGAAGATGATTGGTGACTATTGCATGAATCGCGAAAAATAAAAATTTGTATCTTAATTTCAATTATCAACATTCATGATCAAAAAAAAAAAATATTTTATCTTTTAAAGAAATGAAATTATTGAGATAAGCGATTTTGATAATTTATAATCGAAACGATGCAATTCCACACGCCTAATTATACATACATATTGTGAACAATACATCGTGCATTATATATTAAAATATCATCAATCACTGAAAAAATTTTGATAAATTTATCAACTAAATTTATCATGCTTATCATTTTTTTTCAAATAGCATATGTAAGTGAGATCTTGACAATGAATACGGAAGAAATTAAATTCCTGAGTTACATAAATTAGTATAAATTTTTAATACTATTAGGAAACAAAGATTCATTCTATCGACATACGCACTGTTATAATTTTCTAAAAAAAAAATTTACATTAATAAGAATTGGTGGATTAAAAAAAAAGCAAAATATTTTCATTTTTCTATAATAAATTAAGTTAAATGATCAAGAATAAATTTAATTTATTTGTAATATTTATTTGTAGTATTTTTAATAATTCATATATTGATGTAATTATTTAACAAATACATGTCATTACGATCCATAAAAGGAAAATAAAAACATATTTAATTTAAAACATATGAAAACATATGAAAAATCAAATCTTACCACTTTTTCCGATTGGTCATTATGTGGAACAATTCTTATAGTATTCATATTAAAATTCTTTTTTTCTTGTAAATTATTCTAATAGTTAATTATGAATCTGTAAAAAGATAATCAAATTTTTAAAATAAATATATAAATTATAATAATATTGAAAATCATTTATAACAATTAAAACAAGACAATAACAAAGCTCAAATCTTATTTTGAAAGCCAATATATATTTCATCAATAAACAATGAAATAGATTATAAAATAAAAAAAATTGAATAAATTATTTCTCGAAAAATTATCAATTATAATAATATTCAATAATATTATTGAATAAATATACTAATTAAATAATATATGAAAAAGATAATTAAAATGTAATTAAACAATAATATATAAAAAGATAATTACTGAAATAATTATGTAATAGATTAGTCATGCACTTCAAATAAAACATCTACACGCCATTTGATAGAAGAATAATACTTTGCATCGCGATATCCATTATCGAATTGGATTAGAAAGAAAATAATCCCGAAGTTTGGCAAAAAGTCAAAACATATCAAGTCGAAACATAACACGAACGCGAACTATCAATTTTAATAAAAAGGTTCTATCATAAGAAATATTTTTTGCTTTGATCATAATATCAAAACAAATAATACGTTGATAAAAAACAAATAATAATTTTCTAGGAAGATTGAATTATAAGAAACGTTTTTAATCTTAAGCGTAAAAATAATATGAGAAAAGAAATATGTGACATAAATATACGTATGAAATAAAATTGATTTGAATTTGATTTATTTTTATCTTTGTATGAATAAAAAAAAAAACAAAAAAAAACTTATAGTAATTATTATACGTTTTTTGAAAATAATTTTTCTAAAATAAATTAAATTTTATCATATTTCTATACATGTATATAATCTATTACATTTTCAAAATCATGTTAAATATTAATTAAATAAAAATGAAAAGTATAAAACAATAATATAAAATTAAAATAAAACAATAACTTCAATAATAAATTCAAATCTGACTTCAAACATTTATAATACAAACCATCGGTAACTGTCAAATGCATGAGCAATGAATAATGATAAAAAAAATAAAAAAAAATTCAATTTTGATGTAATAATATTTGATAAATGATTAAACACATACATATTAATTAAATAAAAGCATTAATAATCTATTATTCTCATAAATTATATCACAATATGAAATTCTACATTCAATTATATATTTGTATCGGTGTAACACATTCTCTTCCCACGATTCTTGACAATAGATTGATTTCATGTACATTGATTCGTCTAACGCTGGGCCTTAGCAGTTTTCTGATTGATTGCAATGATATAATTTCTTGATTTACTTCATCATGCGAAAACTGAAGTATAATATAATATATTTTAATTGTAAATTTTTACAAAATTTTATTATATTTGAAATCTTATAAAAATATGCTGATTATGAAAATATAAAGAGCATAATATAAGAAAAAAGTCAATATAATATATATAAATTAAAAAATACTGAAATATAATTAAAGAATTTAAAATAAATATTAAATTAAAAAAAACTGAAAAATAATTAAAAAGATATATATAAAAATAATTATATGAAATAAAATGCAATAAATCTTTAAATAAATCTTTTACATTAGTCACAATTTGTTGATCTCACATATAAATTATTTTAAAAAAAATCATTTACAATAAAAAATTAAGAATTAAATGGTTGTTCC